TATTTTTAATTTGGAAAGCACTTTTAAAAGTACTCTGGGGTCATTGAAACCGCGAACTCGTGCCTTCTGAGCGTGGGCTCAGACCATAGTGGAGTTGCAGACTTTAGATGATTTTTCGGCTTTTTTTTATTTCCTGGGAAAAAGGGGCGGAAACAAGTTAACAATTTGCTTATAATTTGTGTGAGTTTTTTTACTTACTGGATATTTCCTCAATTTGGCGCCATTTGTACGAGAGCGGTACACTCCAGTCAATTGAGCCAGTTTACAGAACATAGTCAGCACCCGCTGCCACAATGCCAGTCTATTGCTGCATGGAAAGATATTTGACTTTCGGTTTTTCCTTTTTTTAGTAATGACGCTACATCTTTGGTAATGATTGCCAACCCGACCAAAAGGGATCGAAGGTCTGACTTCATTGGTTGGATGGCTTACCTTAGCATCACAAGGGGCATGTAACTGTTGCCTTTGGAGAATGACAATACGAGGACTGTGGAAATCCAGGAAATGACATTTCCCCCCCCCCCCTTCCTCCTCCTGATACATTCATTAACGTAGCATTTCACTTCTTCCAATGGACTTTTGAAATGTACCGCCTATTATCTTCCATCTCTTTGTACTCCTTCGCAGAGGCGTCACCTCCAGAAACCCTGGCTGAATTTTCAAGTACTCTTATGCTATGGATCACTGCAAACACCTTCACATACCAATTTCACGATTGGCCCAAGTTCACACGATGGCTGGTGACGGCCGGAGTCGACAAATTATCCATTTAAACTACACATGCTCCCCCCTCCTCGATCTACCAGCTTTGATTGTAGTCTCCGTCGCTCCCCACCCACCATTTTCAGGACTTTGTAGAAGGTCCACACTTAATTTGTTTTAAAGACAGATGCCACGAAAATGTGGTAAATCTTCTTAATAGGGGCCACGTTAGCGTAACAAGCAATTACGCAGGAATGAATGACTGCTGTAAGATAAAAGGTGTCCGAAAATAATGCTTTATAAAGACAAAAAATAAAACATCGAAAGACACTATTGCCATCCAACGTCGATCCTCTCTCATGTGAGCGGTACTCCCTTTGAAGTACTTCCAATTTTGAGGTCATGCTTAAAAGTACTTAATGAGTTTCTTTTCTTTCACCCCTTTTTTCCTCCGTTATTACTTCTTTAACGGAAGCATTCTCTGCGGGTACTGCAAAGCATTATTAGGCAGCGTTATGTGTAAAAAGAAATATTAGACTTTTGTGCCTGAGAATGGAGGTCAAGTAATGCCTCCTTTCTTTAGTTGGCATGGGAACTTGCAGAACTTGAAAAAGAGAACGCCCTGTGATTCCCATAGATTTGGAGAGTGCGAGAGAGAGAGGGGCTCCACTCGATGAAATTCACTGTGATCTGTCTAACTGCGCTGCTTTGCTACTACGTAGTTCACCGCCTAAGTCAGATCTCTTGTGACCCTGCACGGTGTATGTGAGGTTACCTGTTTTAAAGGTTATTGCAATCCGGTTAATATTTTTTGTGGAATATATTCAAGTAATGTGAATGAAAGGATTGGGGGCTATCCCACGCCGAAAAAGAAAACCGGATTACAGTGATTCTCACTTCTAAGGGGGATGGACAATCGACATCAGTTAACTGCGACCGTCCAGAGGCCAAATCCTCATTATCTTTTTTAACTCCTCTCTCTGAGATCAATATAACTGTCACCATTTTTTGGTTTCTCATTTTCCGATCCCATTGCACTTGAGAGCAGTCACAGAAATTATACAAGATTCCCTTTTAGTCTGTACCAAAAAAAGAGGAGATAAAAGAAAATGAAGGTCTACTGCTCCCTTAAATACAGTGAGAAGTGCCCACTTTGTTATCGGACGTCAAAGTTCTTCGGATCTTTACTGGAAACCTTTTCGCCCTCTGCCTAGTTTCTTCGTGTTGATCAAGTGAACGAAATTCCTCACGTATCTTACATTTCTGTTTTTTTTCTTTTCCCAAAGTAAAAGCAACTTTATGTCATCGAGTGATCAAGATGGTTGGTGGGAATTTTATGGTTGTCCGACCTCTAATAACCACATTTCTAACGTTCGGTCTACTTTGAACCTGATGGATGTGATAGCAGTCTGTTTGTTGAAAATGGTAAGGTGCTGTAGCCCATTTTCTCACTTAAAAAAAGCGGTTAAATGGAAACTTCTCTCTCTCCTTAACAAGTAATGCCTTATTGCATGTTATCAGTGAGTAGAATACTCAAGGAGTGACGTATTTTGCGAACATTGAGAGCAGGAATAATACGATTCCTGGGAAGGTAAAGTCGTGGAGGTTAATCAAATGAGAGAATATGGAAAGACCATCAATTGATTCTTCGTTTCTTTCACATGCTTTATAATGATGCACCATTGAGAGAGAGGGGATTGTTTACTGACTGACGTGTAGTGATGCTATTATCGCCTGAATGATGTGTGCCACCTTTCGGCTACATTTGACAATCATTGATTAGGTAGACAAGATAGGTGCGAGATAAAAGTGAGGCAACGGAGACAAGATTCCTTTTTTAACTTCTTAGTTATATTCGTGTGAAATAGTTATTAATACTTTTGTATTTTTTCAGATAGCGTTTATCTTGTGGAGGAGGGAGGGGAAGGGAGGGGGCTAAAAATTCACAAATGAAGATATAATGTGAGTCTAGTTTAAATGGCAGCAAGAGGGGACACATCGTTTCGCCTTTCACCTCACAAGTTCGAGAGTCATTGAGGCAGAATCTGGAAGCGACTTCTGAGTACGCTAATTTGGGCGGGAGGTGATGGGGGTGGAAGTGGGACGGAAAAAAATTTTTAGATGATCTTCCCATAAATTTGGGAAAAATACCTGAAAAGGTGACTGGAAGGAATCATAAATATTCCTTCGTGACTTAGAGTAGGTGAAAGGAGGCAACATTTTTTTTTCACATCCTGTTAAGCTGAAAACCAATCGGTCGGAACTGTGCGGATTTGAATTGACGCTACTGCAAGACCTAGAGGCAGTGTTGCGTAGTGAGTCATTGAAGAATGCACACTTCTAGACGCACATAGAGACTGGTGGAAGGGGCGAAACCACAAACAGCGGTATTCCTTTCATGGTAATATAAAATACACACACAGTCTACAACGTGTGACAGTTTGAAACGCTTGAGACGACATGTGTGCCAAACATTACTCATTGGGATGTTGTCAAGGCGATGAGATGAATGCGATAAGACATTTTCTCCCACCCACCCACTTTTTCCTAGGGGACAAATCACATAGAAAAATAAGTTGTGTGGTACTATTACATTACCCTGTAGGCTAATTAACTAATCATAAGTTTCCTTTGGAAGAAAAAATGGACATTTTTCCTTTCATACCTTCGAGGCAGAAGGTATTGAGTGGGGGAGACTTATTTGACCCCCAAGTCCATCTGTTGTCCGTTACATTTGCATACATTCACACACACAAATCCAACGCGGTGTTCAGTCAACAGACACCTCGAAAGTGTGGGACAGATTTAAGGGTGTTGTGGAGGCGGATGGGAAAGACTGCACTAGCACTAGTGGGTTCGTTCGCTTGAAGCTACAATGCAAAAGCCATGTCCCACCATTTGTCAAGCAGTCAGGCAGCCAATCAGTCAGTCAGGCGGTCAGTTAGAAAACAGGCCTTTCCCAGTGTTCCATTTTTACTGTCCACGTTCGAGTCAAAACCGGGACTCTTCGTTGATTGGCTGTTACAGGGGTCACAAATTTAGCAGTGTCATGTGTCACACCATACTAGTAACTGGTGCTTGTGTGTGTGCCACGAATCACTTCACACTCTGTCACACAGGGCGCCTTACGAAAACAGCGTCAACAGCAGCAACAACATTAAAGGAGTTTGCGTGTGCACCAAACAACCGGTGATGTGTGACGTGACATCTTATGAATGTGAATGGACAAACCTGAGTCCTTGAGGTCTGCTGTATGGTTAAATGATACTGGAGTGTGAACGTCTTCTTTGTCAATGACAATTCTAACTAGGGTATAGCTTTTTTCCTCTCAACCCAGTGACAGTTATTCTTCAAACCAGCTAGAGGGTGTAACTTCTTTTTTGGCAAACAAATATTCACAGGAAAAATGTGGACTGCAGTATTGCAAGAGAGCTTTTAATTTTGAATCAAAACATTACCAGTGTGTCTATCACTGGTTAAACCGAACAGGTAAATGTCTGTGCTCATAATTTTATCATGGGATGCAGAGCTGTTTTTCCTTTCTTTGTTGTTGATGGACTTGTGAGTAGGTCATAAGGAGGTTGTTGGCGTTGCAGGAAGTTGAAAAAGACCCCACCTCTCCTGCACTAAAAATAGTTGAAACATGAAGGGTAAGCACAGTGGGGCGTCGTCCAAAGCCTTGAAGCCTCAAAGTAAGTTATATGATAAGCTGTAATGCACCTGACAAACTAGATATGTGCTTTACAGAGAAAGCCGAGAAGGTTGAGCCGAAGCAGAGGGCTTGAATGCAGGGTCCCTTCCGTGCATACACAAGTAAAAGCACCCATTTTCCCCATTATTTTCCCCCAATTCGTCTACTAAACGGTAGGGTAGGAAAAATCCCTCGACCTACCACAAACCTTAGGAGAACGTGCACTTAAATTGTCTGGGCATTGCTTAACCCGATTAAAACAAGCACGAAAGCGTTACATTTCATCCATTTTCAGTCTTCTCTTCATTACCATGGTTACCATGACAATTCTTAGGGTTTTCACTGCATTTCATCCTAGTTAAAGTTTTGCCTTTATTTAAATTTTTGGCGCAAAAGTACGCAGCGTAGTTTACTTTTCTATACACACTGGAAGTACGCACCTGTAAAGTAGTTTGAGTTCACGACTAAATGTACTTCAAGGAGGCAGATAACGGAGAGATAAAAAGTAGCCGTCAAATAATTTGACAAATGAAGGCACTAAATCAAGTGACTTTCTTCTTCACCCTTACGAAATATTATGCCCACTTTTTTTCCTCTCATCCCTCAATATCACTAAAAATGTCAAGTCTTCCCGACTCCCCTGGCCACTCGGCTTAGAGATCGGTGGCTTTTAAGGGTCTGTGAAAGAGTAACTGTCCTGGTGCTAGAACGACATCTATGCCTAGGAAACGGTATACTGTCGTCCAACCGCGTGACTTGTGTGCCCTGGAGGTCCACACAATTGTACAAAGGTGAAGGAAAAGGAGACGGTGCCGCTGTAGCACATGGAGAAAAACCCAAAGTGCTTCTTTTATGAGACGCCTCCGACAACTTGATGCAAAATTGACTAGTTTTAAGGCATTTGTTGCTTTTAGACCTAAAAAGTGACGGTCATGCCGCTACATATTTTCACTTCAATTGAGGCTAACACGCGAAGGATTGCTAAAGCGAATTGGGGAGGCAGACACTAATCGAGGAATTTCATGCCTTGGTTAACCCCATTTTTTACACCGTTTGTGGATGTTTAACACAAGTTGCTATCTCTAATTAACAACAAAATGTCAAGGCGCCTTCATTCCTCACACACACATACACACGCATACCCCATACAGAAATAACTTTGCTGATTTTTGTCTACTGCCTCCGATTCCAGATCCGTGGATGGGGAAGATGGGTAAGAGAAAGACGTCATTTGATGCGATAATGTAGAAATGTACAAACAATTAAGGCTTTTTAAGAGCGGAAATGAAGGCGACATCAAAGGTGGCCTCTTCACCCCTCTTCCTCCTGCGTTGGGAATTTAAGCGTTGTCCGCGGTACAAAGTTGATGCAACCTGACTGCTTACCACCTAAAATGGCTCTTCAGGAATGTATACACTATATATTAAAGCTATTGCGCTGCATTTTCCAAAGCAAACCACAGGTATTTTTAACCGAAAAAAGTACTTAAAAGACACTGGAGTTTACTGAAGAGATGACTTTTTATGCATGGTCAAACAGGATTTAAGACAATTCTTTCTTAGAGACTTGGCAAACGCTGAAAATCTTTAAAAGATTGTGATGCAAGTATTCCGCACTCATCGATAAGGAAATAATTGACCTCAGGACTGGTCTAGATTTCTTCCTTTTCTCGTTAGAAAAGGTCCAGTCTTCTCGCAAACTTATCCGTAAAACTTAAGGCTGCTTTAAAAAAAAAATAAATTTGACTTCATTTGGTTATATCACACATGGGATCTACGTAAACAACTTTTGATTTCCTGGTCAAACGTAAGAAGAATAAAAGTGACCAAGGAAACGGGGTGCATGACTAGATAGGAAAAAGAAGGGACTTACTTAAGGTTAATAAAATTTGAAGTTAAATTAAAAGGTAACTTTTTGTAAACTTGTGCATTTAAAGTGGTGTAATTTCTTGCCTATTATCAGACTAAAATATTGAATTGTAAACTTATCTGAAGATTAGATATCAAGCTGGCTTAAGCTATGAATTTCGTCAAGAATGCGACGAATTTATCAAACTTTAAGCCTTAATTCAGTATATTTCACACGTTAAGCAAAAATTTGTGAGCAGATTTGCAATCCATGTTATTAATATGCCTTTTTATGATCAAATCCTTGCTGTCAGTAGTCAAAATACGTCAGAATATTATTCTCTCTTGGTGTATTGTATCTAGCCAGCTGCGTTTACGATGCGACCTACCGCAGAGAAAAAAAAGCGGGTTTAAGTTTGCCCACTTTTTTCTTCTTATGCTACCTACTTTGGTGGTAGGATGGCGTAACTTCAATGAGGCGTTTTAGCGCGTTTAAAAGACCTAATAATTTTCACATAAAGATACTCTCTCTATGTAACCTGAAAGTAACACATATTACTAACTTTTCCGCGCATGAATTGGTAACCACATGGATTAAGGCAATCTCGCTTTCGCTTTTGACAAGTATGTTTCTTCCATGACAGTTCCAGCTGGAGCCGCATGCGATTTTGTCCAGGCAGCATTTGGCTTTCTGCTAATTTATTCACTCAATCACTGTATTTTTTGTACGACAGTCCATACCTTTTCGACATGTGCGTGGGCTGGTTAGACACAAAACTACAGTAGTTTGGGTGCGAATACGAATTTTTATAAAAAAGTTTAGCTCCTCTAGCTAGGCATTATGATAAAGCAAAAGATGTATTATTAGCACATGAGGGAACTGAGGGCTGCTTAATATGCGACTAAAAGATGAATGAAGGGTCACCGTCATTTAGGTGAACGTAGTGAAACATGCCAACTCAGCGATGTCATATGGCGTTCAAAGAGTTCATTATTGACAGTTATGACGAACTTAAGATTTAGTCTAAAGGTCTCTTCGGATCCAAGGCTACCTTCCGTTAGGCTTGATCAGTCGGTAAAGTTGAGATAGTAGTCCATCTGGATCAGGTTTTGCTTCGAGTCACAGGAGACACACATGAACGCAATGCTAACCAGAAACCCCATCTTTCAAGTTTTCAGTCGTCCCTCTTCAAGAGATTCCTCACTATACCTCTCTGAGCTCTAGTTCTGATGAAATAGTTGTTTGTTAGCTTGCACTCTAATCCACTACCCAGATTGACACACATGTCAACACATGATTGCAGAAGCTCCTGTTCACAGAAGGCGCTGTGTGAACAACCGCAAGTGATTTTTTTGCATGGAAGATTCCTGTTCTTGCACACAGTTAGAGCAAATGCAAAAAAATTCATTTTTTTCTTTTGTAGTATATTTCTTGGAAATAGAAATTATTAAAGACAAAACATCCTCCTATCGAAAAAGGTCACTATCAACCCTAAAGTACTTTACATTTGAGGAAATCGATTAGTCTTTAGTGCTTTTTCTTTTCTACCTTTTTTAGTTGAGAAAGTATTTTTTATGAATAAGCATGCAGTGACCTTGAGAATTGTCCAGCTCCTCCATTGGTGCAGTCGTAGTGTTTACCCTAAACAGGTTTTAAATTCTGGGGGCGGCCGAGATGTAAATTTAAACAAACTTTTGCGGTCTATCATTACACAAAGAACAAATAATGCACACTTATATTTGGAGCCTAAAAAGTAATTACTCAGAAGAGGGTAGTAGACCATAGGATAGTCTGTCAAACTGCTCATTCTTGTGAGCAAATCACAATATTAGTGATCCCTTATGAAGGAGTGACATCTACATCCAGACCTCTTTTTAGTCGCATCCCAACTTTGGTGTTGGCAGTCGAATCGCCTAATATGAAAAAGCTCGATATTTGTGACCTCTTATTTGCCTCCATTTAGCAGTTCTCCCCAGTCTGTCGCCCTTTGTACCAAGTTTAATTGTTGTTTGGGCCTAACAAAAGAGACTTGAGGTAAACAGAAAGGCAGGATTGAATTGTTTAAGGTGGTTTGTGATAGCGAAACCTTTTCTCCTAGGAATGGTATGCATTTGCTTAGTTCACTAAATGTGGTTGGATTATGGGAGGGAGAGACCTCCTCTGGGGAAGAATTTGTGAAGAAGTAGATTGACTTGTCAAAGTTAATCTTTGACATTACCCGTTTTGAGTAACAAACCGAGACGTTGACAGTATAACACATTGCCATCTTACCTGTCACTTCTTTAATGTGCATTTTAAGCATAAAATTGACTGACCGTGACAGATTTGTAACGTGACAAGAAGTGACGCCTGAAATGTCAGTTGAATAAGCGTACCATTGGTTGGCCCTAGACGATGTACCACTCCGCTACCTACCGCATAGTTCTAAGGCACGCATCACTTCATCCAAGGTAAGCTACACCTTTTTTGCCCCTCTGTGTGTGTGATACACTACAGGCGCGACTATTACAGCTGGAATCTATCTTTATCCTCCACAGATCTTGATTGTGGTGGAGGAGAGAAGGGAAATAAATCCTGCCATCGAAACATCCACACCAAGAAAAGAAGTCTCAGTCTTACCGCGATACGATGCAAGACCCCGTATCGTTCACCATCAAAATTGCCTAGAAGAGAGTAAACGGGTGCGGCCTCAGCTATCCCCTCCTCTCCTATGATTACCACCTTTTTCTTCCCATTAGACAATCACATGTGACAGTGAATGGGCATGTTTAATGTACTGCGTGTTTCCCTCCATTTAAGGGCGACTAAATTGAACTCCCTTACACACAGACTCCAGCTCCGGCCATTTATTTACTTCTTTATTAGATCTGGTTGTGTGCCAAAACGCCTGACATTTTACCTCTCCACTATTCCCCTCTAATTGCTTCACCCTTAACGGCAGATTTCAGTGTCTAGCAGTCAAAATAGGGTAATAGAGGGCACTAGAAAATGCCTCCACAGTGAGATGAGATTGGTGTGGCTATCAAGTTTTTTTCCTTTCTGCCGCTTCAACCCAATTTCTAATGCCAGGTTATTCAGCATACATTTTATGGTTCATTGTATGTTTCTGAAGCGGTCTATTCCACACCTAGACAGTGAAGATGACAAGCAAAGGGCATTAACCATGGTTCTTACTATAAATAAATAAACAAAATGATCGTCAGGTTTTGTCACACATGTCTGCGTGTGTACGTTTACAGTCCATGCTTGCGTAGTCTGGCGCAATGCTATCTTTTTTAGCCTTCAGTCTGACGGAATAGTGGAATCTATGCACCTCATCAATTATCCTTTCCACTTTCTAAAGAAGTAGATCTCCCTGCGCTCAGGTCACACCTGGACTGTGGGAAGAAAAATCTCAAAAAGCAGAACATAAAAATGGGTGATGCTTCATGTACCGTGGGCGAAGAAGGTGGAAAAGTGCGTTGATGAAGTCTCGCCTGAGCCACTGTATGCCTCAGCTCCAACAAGTCCTTTGAGTGGTGCAAATATTTTACAGACATCCATAAGACAACTTCCATTCTTAGTTATTTGCAGTCATTCAGGATCACTTCAACGCCTAACCAATGGCGGGGATTGGAACTCCGCAGTCCCGGTTTCGCACGAACACTATTCCATATTTCTCTATTTACTAAAACCTCTTTAAAAACAAATTTGTCAAATTAAAAGTAATTAATTTGCAGAAGTCATTGAAAATAATCACCAGTTATTTCAAAATTAGAAAAAGGAGGAGGAAGGAATTTGCATATTCTTTACAACACACTTGATATCCATACTGTCCCTCCTGTGAGGAATCACTTCATTATGCATAAGCATAAGTGGCGTCACTTGTCACGTGTAATGGGAAAGTGTGTACCATCTGCCATTGCTCTTCCAGTGATTACTACCAGACTGGTGGCGGAGCTTGTCAAATGTGCCTTCCTGCTCCCTCTTCCCACCATTTGCCCCTCTCCTCTCCTTTTGCATTTTCATCCCGATTTGACCAGCCTGACGGCTGTAATTTGGGCTGGTCTGCTACACACAACGGATTCAATTCGCTTCCAAAGTCACAGACTACTGTCGGATACCTTCTGGTAGACCAGAGTAACCAGTATGTAAGGCCGTTAAACCAAATGTGCCTCCTGTTTTAGGGTGCCCCTCCATTTCGTAGTAAGGGGCGCAAAGGGAATGGCACAACAAATAGAGGTTATAACCCAATTATTAATATTTGTGAGTTATTTTCTGAAATTTGTCAACCTTTTTCACTTACGCCGTTAAAACAAACTCCCACGCATTATGGGGTCATTGATTGACCAACTGTGCTGTGCTGAGAAAGTTGGAGCGTAGAAGCAACACGCCAGCGGGTATTACCAACCACCTCACGCTTTCAAGGCGCGCCTCACTTTCTCTCCACAATTCTCTATTTTTATGTGCTTGTGTGTGGGTGGTGGACTGCAGGAGGAGTTACTCACCATGAGCTGTTCACTTGACAAAGACCTAACAGCAGTCAGGGATGACAGTCACTAGGCTTTTTACTCGAAGGTGTACAAATAATCACAGAAAGGTAGGGAGAAAGTTAGGGGACTAGGCTGAATTAATAAGTAGCTTTTAAACTTTATTTTGGTAATTTATATGTAGGCTTTAAAGCAAGTTTAAACAAGAATACAATTCAAAATAATACACCTTAGATGCAACAAAGAATGAGAGAAAAGCATAATTCAGTAGATAAAGTGGAGAATTCAGTAGTTTATTCTGACAGGTGAAGAGGAGAATCTACTGTTCCTCCGAATGAATACCATTCCCTCGTGGATGCCAGAGCCAACGTCAGCCAATTAGGAAGCAGCGCTACGATCAAAAATAACCTCTCCTCCTCATCCTGCCGTTGGTGTGCCTAATATTCATGCCTATCTATATTGTTTGCGCCGTGTGTTTAGGTAAAGGTGGATAGGGAGTCGGAGGCGCGGGCGGAGGCGCAGGCAGAGGCGGAGGCGGAAGTGGAGGAGGGGAAGCAGGGACAAGAGATCATGCGAGAACACCAATGATCTAACATTATTGCGAGACGTATTTGGAAAGACAGTTTTGCCACTGGGAAAGCAGTCATGTGTGAAAGCGTCCCGATTGTGATTTATGGTCCGTGTGGCCCGCGATGCCGTGCTGTTGCACAATCTGACGGGGGAAATTTCCCTGACCTCAATGTAGGCGAAAGAAATTACGCGCAGCTGTGGAGAAACACATGACCTTGAAGTAGGAAACAGGTTCCACCAATAATGTTTGCTCATTTAACGTGGAGAGAATATTTTAAAAAACCTGTTTAATCAGTTTTGATTTTTGATATTTCGGCAGATGTCATGAACATTGTTCTACCATGAGGATGTAGATAGAATGTCAAGTTTCATTTGTGGTAGCTTCTTCATATTCCTACCCCTTGGAATAGTTTACCGCTCTGCATTTATTCATTCATCCATCCAGCTGTCTACTGATTTGACCCACAGGTATAATAACCACTACCTAAGAGATAAAATAGACTTCCCAATTATTTGACTAGACGTCTTTATCCCACTTAATTACATTTATTAACTGGGAATTTCAATGAATTTTAGGGGGGAAAGTACTGCTTGCAATCAACTCTCTATCTCAGGGGCATTTTTTACCTTAACTTAAGGCCTCGGATGTAAGGTGATGATCATTTTCCTCAGCTAACGTACGGTTTGCTTGCTTATCCATAAAAAATCCACTATCCTTCTCCAGAGCCGCGACACCACACGGCGGCACGTTTTCCCTTTCCTTTTGTTACACTGAGCAAGCGCAAAACAACTGGAAAAGAAAAGTTTTGTGGTTCGCTAAGAAAATGCATTGCTCTTTATAAAGGGAGAAAATTTGGGTGTTAAGTCTACTTTACAAAGTCATTTTTTGCTTTACTGAACAACAAGATGCCTCCTGTCGCCACATTTACACCGCAGTTTTGAAGTCCTAACTGAATGCTCCATTTTTTGTGATTAACTGGTGTGGATAAAAGGTACTACTCATTTTGTGGGATGAGTAGCATCTCATACATCCTAAACTGTAGCAAGAGATCTTCCCAGAGATATATGTTGTGCTGTATGCTGTAAATATGACCTTCTTTCCATGCGCTTACCAACTGTTGCTGCTTGTATTCCAAGTTGATTATCTGTTCACCAAAGAGGTGTACCGCTTGGGAAGAGATGGGCATCGCCCTTAAATGTTTTGAAATGCTTCATCGCTAATGAGTAAACTAATCCATCTTTCGGCTTTCGTTTCATTCTCCCCCCACTTTTTTTCTACAACCCACCCTCTACTTACTCCTTTCACCACTCTACACACGCACGCATCCACAGGAAGCTGCTCAATATAGCGAAGTTGAAATTGCCAGGATTACCTTGTTAAACACACCAAAGTATATTTATGCCTTTCTAGTGCATGCATATAAACTCTTGTGTATATTCCAAAAGATTCCACACCTGCCAAGAGGTCATTTCAACCAGTTCCTCACTAAACTGCATTACCTTCTTCACGCACCCAAGGTATTTTCTTTATTCCGATACTTAGTGGAGAAAATTTTCTGAACTTTGGAAGGTAACTAAGCAGATTTTACAGTTATTAAGTCCTACCCTAAATCCCATGCCTATTATTTTACAGTTCTTCTTTTTTAAGTTTTTTTCTCATAAAATTGGAAAAGACTTTGAAACATGAGCTTTGAGGGAGAGAAGGAGAAGGAGGAGGAAGAAGTTTCTTTGAAGTAAAACTGCTTTAATTTTTTATGAATCTGGGTCTTTTCTTTTCTCCCCTTCGAGTATACGTGAAGAATTTGAATCCGCAGTCCGACGGTGAAGAAAATGGACAGCCAAGTAGAAGTGACTGCGTTATAAAGGCCTTGGTGCTCCAAATTATGCAGATCATCGAGGCTTCGTTCGGTGAACATCCACCTTCAACAAAAGGAAGTGTCAATGCACAGTTCCCGCCCCCCATGTCTAGCTCTCTTTGTCTGCTTATGAGCTTTCCCCTCCCTGTTACCTTTGGCAAGTCATCTTTGTGGGAAAGGCATTAAAAATCATCCACGACCCGAAAGAAGAGGTTATTTTTTATGGATCCTCACCGAGCTTGAAAGACAGTCATATTTAAGTATCGGCGGTTTCGCTCACCAATTCCGATGGGAGCACACATTGCCTTTGAGTTAATCCACCGCCTGGAAGTAGTACAGAGTGGGCGGTTGGTCTAACAAGAAAAAAGTGTACATACTTAATTCTTATATGAAAGGATGTTTATTTCAAAGAGCTACCACCAGGTAAAACATAGGGGATAGCTCCGCTAGGCATTTTTTTCTCCCTACAAGCCTAGTCAATAGTTCCCTTACTAAGAATGCAATTTTTGCGAACATTCCTGAGGAATCGGCAATGGGTCACTTGGTTTCTGGTGTCATGCCATTTCCCTAATGATAGCATTGCAGAATACGAGGTTAAAGCGGTTAACAAATTCGGAAGGTCCTCCAATGCCACAACGCTATGTCTACAACCTACTCGTCTTCTTTTCATTCTTGATATAGTACTTACACAGCAAAGTCGTGATTTCTTCTCGTTCTTCTTCTTCCTCTTTAGTTTCGGAATCATTACAGTTCCGCCAACTCTCCAAAGTGAGGCGATTGGAGAGCCCGCTAAGCATGATTAATACATTTCCGGATAGAATGCAGGTAAAATTTAGTCGACTAAAAACTTAAAGGTGACCTTCTTTCATTTATTTGCTCTTTTTCCTTCGATATTCTATCCTTACTTCCTGCGAATGGTAAAGTGTCTGTAGAAAAGAGATGACCTTGTTTACCTACTTCTCACAAGGTGCGAGATCTAACTTATTGTGGGATTTTTCAGAAGGAAAAAAGAGCAGCAACTACTAAAGGAGACCTTTTGTTGTACCTCCTTCACCCTATAACCAGGTCGTTTGTTTCTTGTGGATTATGGCAAAACGAGGGTTATAACTGTGCATCATAAAATGCGTGAATTACAGTGAAGCCATTAAAGGGGGCGGACACGCCTAAGCTTTAAAATGATAAAGTCAGTGCTTGCGATTCCCACCAGTTGACAACAAAGACTCACCTGTGTTTTAAGGGAGAAAAAGGCGGTCAATGATAACCCAGTGGTACAAATTTGAAGTGTTGCAAGATGTGGAGTTAACGGACTGCACGGTCGCTTTGATGTTCTGGGATTCAAGGTCACCCCTCGGGATTGTGACCTCCATCACATTTGTTGGAGTTTGTGCTCAGGCAGAAGGGTGAAAAATCCACTAAGAGTATTTGACTTTGCAGAATTTCTAACAATCCATGACACTTAAATGGAAAATTAGATACCAGAAAAAGTAAATTAAAAGTTGATATTTATTTGTGCCGATGACTCAGTTAAACGCTTGGATAATGTTGAAATGATAGAAGGTAGAAGAAGGGAGGATATTAAAATCATATAATAGATTTGAGGTCTTATTTTGTCCTTTCAACTTAAAAAAGTACCAGAAAAAGGGAAATTAAAAGGAGCAATTTCTGTTTTCAGGCACATCTTCCCCAATTCACAAAAGTAGTGGTAAGAGAAGGGAATCGGGTATTAAGAGCATATACATCGGTCAGAGGGCATTCAAAACCATTTTTTTATTCCTCTTCTTTTTTTCGTTTTTATATGGCTAAAAGGCAGGACAATCAGGGGGGGGGGGTTTGGAGACTCCCCTTAAAACCGGTCATATCCCACGAACCGACAGGTGATGTCTTCAATCCCTTCACTGCTCCATGATTTCATCAACAGGCTGTGTTCGTCGCCGCCTTACCCCTCTTTCATAAATGCTTGATGGAAGGCAGCCGAGCCGTTGAGATAGAAGATGGGCACAACTTCCGCCCTACAAAAAATGCCCCACCTGTAAAAGTAAACAATCTAGCTGTGACCACCGTCCTGCTATTCTGTGTGACCTGTGAATGCCAAACCTTAAGGTGAGGCATTGTCTCCCTACCATCTATCTCACAGGTATATTCAGTGGTGCCATGGGGTTTGTGGGTCCTCTATTCAACCAATTAGCTAACCAATTCCGGAGGCAAATGTTGAGGCATCAGAAAAAATATTCGTAGGAAACACTTCCGTTGTCAGTTCACCATCATCACAAATAAAAAATCGTTTCCTGAAGTGGGATTTATGCGTACCCCAGAAGTGTAAAATAAGTAGTGAGAAGATCCTTTATGGTTAGTTAACGATATGGGCATTTGTTTAGCTGTGAAAGCATCTGCAATCTCAGAAGACGATTCTCTGGAAGTCGCCTTTTATTTTATCGAATTCCCGAACTTTCAAGGAGGTCCCTCTAGACTGGGGCATGCGCCTAATTCCCCCCTGATCGACTTGTATCCCGGTGGTCATGCACCATTAAACCCTTTTGGGTATTAAGGTCAGGTGAGGGAGGATAGATAGACAGCAATACAACCATTCTCTCTAAGTGGCCTCGATAGCCATCCAGCAGTCACGTATACACCAGCAGTTCTCGCAGTATTCTCTAGTTGACAACTTGATGGCACTCAAGCTTACAAACATACCCGTAAATGTATGAGCTCATGCTTTCATAGAATTTAAGATTGAAGAACTTAAGTAGAAGTTGGTAATGGAAGTAAACTTTACAAAACTTGTGTTTACGTGGGTGTGAGAAATTTCCCACGAAATCTATGATTAATTTTAAACGTGATGCTTGATCAACTAAAATGAGGTATTATCAAAAGAAGGCGTGAATCCCTCGTTCCACTTCTAGTTGGGAGTCTTCGGAAGAGCAAGAAATTGATTTACCGGAAGAGATAAAATGATACGTAGCTACTTAATTGAGAATTAAGTAGGAGGGAGGAAAGTGGCCAATAATACTCATGCTAGGGTTTGGTGAAGCCATGTTAAACCATTGACGAAGTGGATGTGAGGCTACAATCAACCCAACGACCCGAAAAACAGAAAGCTTGTGATCGGCCTTTGCAGATGGCTACAGATGAGGTCAGAATCACCATTGAAGAAAATATAAGGCTTTGGAGCAGGAGACATGAGCAGAGCCCGGGTGTCACTGGCATTATGCACCACATCTTTCTTCTTGTTTTGCATAGGCTGACGTGAAAATAAATAAAAATAGATGCAATAAAATGCGGGAGGAGATACAATGATCGCACGATGTGTTATGGGTAGCACTTTGGAGTGAAATTCGTCTCTCAAGGGGAACATTCAAGAGCCCTCAAACAAGAGCGATGATACATTTGACCTGCATCATTACCCATTTTGAGTGGAAACCTCGTTCAAAGCACACATAAAGAGCTGTCATTGTTCCCCTGATTAATAATATATCTCCAGGTTTCCCTTACACCAGAAGAGGGACTAAATGACATGCACTTCAAAAAGCTCCTCAGCATAATTCTACCCGACCGCCTCCAAAAAACCATTGAAAGTTGCCAGACATCGATGATGAAAGTGAAACTTTTCAAAGAGATTAATCTGTCGCAAAAAATTCTTTACGTTATCTCCATCTTTCTGCCCTTTCTGACTATTCCAGTAGGCGTAATAAGCAAAGCCAAAACTAGCTTGTGTTCCTCACCTTGCCTGTGCTGAGTTAGCCTAAACTGTCTGACCGTGACCATCACATACAATACACACGTCACACCACACCAATGCCGGGTTTGTGTGTGTGTGAATGCATGTGAATCGGTGCGCGTTTCACATAAAATTGCCACGAGATGCACCACACCTGCACCGTTTCCGTTCAGCAAGAGGCTTAGAGCCTGTAAAATAAAATCTGCCGTCACATCATTTACGACATCATGCCTCCGAGCCATAGATAAGTTGACGGCTCTAATCTCGCCTACGTCAAATTAAGTGCTTTTTTGTCTTGTAACAATTTGAACACTTTCTTTAGAATTAATCACATAAGTGAACCAGATTAATGAAATTCTCACTTTTTGGCAAAACAAATCAAAGTGCATTTGTTTACTTGATAAAAGTTGAGGCCGTTTTTCGTCATTACAAAATTCTTAATAAAGCTCACTTTTATTTCTACTTTTAAAGAATATTTCAATGAACGAGAGGAATGTGTAAGCATTGCTTCCGATTCCATCACGGAGAATAACATTTTGAGTGGGTATCCTAGAGCAGAAAAATTTCTTTCGTAGGTGAATTAATTAAAACAACTTTGTAAGTTTGTAGGCAATAAAGGGGAAAAATAAAGGAAGCAGAATATCAGTGCAACACGCTTAAAGTAAACTGAAGTAAGATTAGGGAATATCTGCAGACAAGTTTTTGACACATTTTAGGGGTATTTCCCCTTTATTATTTTATACATCCCTTTTGTTTAGACGGATAAGTGAACATATTCGCATTTAACAAGAATGTTTAAAAAAGTCCTTTTTTAAAGATATATCATTAACAGTATTCCCCGCGGAATTTATGTCAGAAGAGAAAACGACATGGCTGATGAACGGTTGCGCCTGTTTATCCACTGGGAACGCAAAGCGAGTTAAAATAAATGTTTTCAGAACTTTCGTCTAATTTGGTTATTTATTTGCGCATCTTTTCACTGGCAAAAGCGCCTATTTATTTACGAGACATTCACTAACTCCGACACTAGTCTCCCACTTGATTGGCTGATCTCTAGTGCGCCACGATTCAAATCGGCGAATGGTTTGTCAGCTCGTATAATCAAACTGTGTGGAAAAACGTGGGTGTTTTCAAAACAAAAACTAACATAGAAAACAACTAAAACCACTGTAAAGGTGGTTTTTAAAATTCCTAAAGAGGCCGAAAGCCATCTTTTTTGTAGTTAATTAAAGTTTGTGGCCGTCAAGAATGCTGCCAATTTTTCCACCTGCGACTAGTTTATTTACTACTCCACCATAATAATTGACTTTCCGACTTTCATCACTCAAAATGATTGCATTTTTTTCTCATGTCAGTGCTTTACGTGCAGCGACTGAATGCAGACTGACACTTCTGATTTTCATTTTGTGCATGGAACAAAAAAAATAGTGTAAATAGCATGCCATTTAAATCAAGTTATCTGAAGTGATCCAACCAATTTCTTAAATGTTAACTCTAGCTGATCAACACTTTTCTTGAGGCCGTTCATTCAGATAAACAAATAAGTTAACTTTGGGCTTTTTTGTTTGCCGCCTGATTTCCCCGCATATTAAGTTTAAATGTAGTGGAACACCACGATTAACTGTTTAATGGTGTTCCAGGCTATTTGTATATACGGATGACAATCAATAGGCTTAGACAAGGAAAATTTGCACTTCAAAGCAGGTGAAATCATCGTGGTCCATTGGACCGCAACAACAGCATCTCGGATTCGCAGTCTCCAAGTTCATTCTGCTCCTCCGTCGAACCCGAGTAAACAATATGTTTAATCGACCTCTCCGAATTCGCATTCGCATGCAAACTGAAATTTTGATGGGAGAGAAATACGAATGTTTCTTACTCTGAATTTACTGGCTTTGATGGAGGGTATAGGGTCCGATTAGTCTATGGAGGTCCAGAACAACCGATCAGGAAGAATGAACATCAGCCTTAGTGAGCCAAAGTCTCCAATTGCCATTAACTTCAATGTGAACGTGGCTACACTGTAGGGC